GCCGCCAAAGAATTGCCACCTCCGCAGCCTGGCCAGTTAGTCCGCCGGCTTCCCAAACGCCCGACGGGTCTCGCCGAAAGGGAATGCGATGGAACGCGCGCTGCTTTCGGCCAGCGTCGCATAGCAAGAGGAGGACACGTTTGACGCTCGTCTGTCGGCTCTCTTCACTTGAGTCTTGCTCGAAAAGGATTTGCAGACTGTGGTGCTCTTTTTTTTTTTCCTAATTCACGTTTGATGCAATGTCCCGACCGCATTGGAGTTGGTGCGTGTGTTTGGGTGTGCGCGCGCGCGCAGGTCTACGCGGTGGACTGGAGTCAGACGAGAGGCCACGACGCCATCGTGTCGGGATCGTGGGATCGCACCGCCAAAGTGGTGCGCGCCTCGCTCGGTCTCCTTGCTTTGTCGGCTTTCCCGTCTGACCCGTGACCTTTCGCTTCCTCCTAGTGGGACCCCACCCTCGGCCAATCGCTCAGCACTTTCACGGGTCACCAGGGGGTCATCTACAGCACCATTTGGTCACCTCACATCTCGGCGTGCTTCGCTTCATCCTCAGGTGCGCTCGCACACACAAAGGGCACGGCATGGCACCGTATCCCCACAAGGAGGCACTGTTGACCTGTTTTGGTGTGTGTGTGTGTGTGTGTGTGTGTGTGTGTGTGTGTGTGTGTGTGTGTGTAAAGCGCGATTGCTGAGGTGTCTGTGGGCGGCTGATGAAAATGTCCGCCTGGGCGGTTTTCCTCCAAGTGGCACGTGCGCTTAAAATGTCAGCTATCTGGCGGCAGCAGCCGGCTAAGCCGCGCGCATACATCAAAGTGGTGTCGCCGGCATGCGCTGCGCTTGCGCCGACGTTTTCATACAAAAGGTCACAAAGTGCGCAAGAGAGGCGTGCGTGGGAGAGCGCGTGCGCTTTGGTTTTGGCGGCTGAGCGTTGTCGTCAAGCCTCAGAAGTGGAGCAAAAAGACGTCCTTCGGGGTCAAGCCAGGCCAGCTTGGCCGCCGCCTTTTTCTTAGTGGGAAAAGTCGCCGATCTACCGGAGGAAGGAATGAAAGAAAAACGTTTGGTTTCTTCAAAAGAAATTGACAATCTGCTGATCAAAGTCCGCCCCGGCGCCGCATCCTGACACAACGCGTCCGTTCCAATTGAGTATGATGCCAAAAGTTGCTCTGTGAGCCGGCGAGCGCGCGCCTCCGCCGCCCGCGTTGCGTCGACACTTTCGACTTCCCGTCGCTAATCCGATCTCACGCGGATGCCGCCGACATCCCAGCGCGGCGTGGGTGGCCGTGGAAAAAGCTCCGACCGCTTTGATGAGGTCGGGAACGGCGCTCCGCTCGCTCGTGTTGGAGAGGAGATGGGGGGGGAAGCTAACGCCAACCCCGCACACGAACGTGGCCCGAGGTTCCCTTCCTAAACGCCACCCGAGGGCCCGCCTACGTTACGAAGTACGTGCTAACGCTAACAAGCGGCGGCCGCCGTCCTGCCTCCTATCTCGGGAGGCGGCCGTTTTGTGGCAAGGGGGGGGGGGGGGTAAAACACGTTTGCGCACGCAGTCAGCGTATCGGATTCTGTCGCGCTCGGGCCGCGTTCCGACGAGACGGCCGCCTTGGTGGCCGCAAAGGACGTCGATGGCCTCCCATCGCGTCATCACGCATGCGCAACTTCCTGTCTTTGTGTGTGCGTAGGTGACGGCACGCTGCGAGTGTGGGACGCGAAGGCGGGCGCCTGCCGATTGGCGGTGCCGGCGCACGACGCCGAGGTCCTGACCTGCGATTGGTGCAAATACGATCAGGTGAACGACTCGCGACAAGAGGCGGATGTCGCGCGGAAAATCTCCGGCGGCGCGAAAAGCTCGCGGGCGCCTCTTTTCACCCTCGTCCTCGATCTCGCTCGTGCGCGCAGAACGTTGCGGCGACCGGCTCGGTGGACGGCAGCGTGCGCGTTTGGGACCTGAGGAACCCCCGGCGGCCCCTCCATCGGATGACGGGCCACGACTACGCCGTCCGGCGAGTCAAAGTACGCGGCAAGGCCGGCCGCTTGCTCACATGCGCATTGCCACGCTCACACCCGTAAAGACACGTTGGCAATTTCCCTCCCCAAACACGCATGCACGCACGACACTGACTTCCTTTCGCAATTCACTGTTGTGATTGTGCGGGCGCACGAACATACCAGCTAACTTATTTGTCAAATGAGCGCGCATCCTGTAACTTGTCCTTTTGACTTGTGATTTCTCTCTCTGTGTGTGTGCGCAGTTCTCTCCTTTCAGCGGCAACATGGTGGCATCCTGCTCGTATGATTTCACTGTAAGGTAAGATCGTGCGCCTTGGTTCTTTTTGTCTGCCACGCGCGCAGCCCAAGTCAACTGCGGTCGCCTCGTCGTGCTTCTTGAACCAAAACGCGAGGAGCCGCTTTGATGCGATGCGATGCGGGTGAGCGCCAAATGATCCCATGCCGCCCTGTGGGCTGGAAGTGGATGTTTGGAAGGAGACGCAACCAAGGCGAGGCCCTTGCGGAACACCGTGTGGAAAAGCGCCCGAGGGGCCACTCGCACGCACGCACGCACCCACTGCTTCGTCACATTTCCGTGTCAAGTGTGTGAGCACAAGGCTTGACGCGACCGGCACGTCCTGTTCTGATCAGTGTGTGGGTTGAGCAAACGGTGGTGGTGGTGGTGGTGGGGGGGGGGACACACAAAGCGGGCAGGTGAGCACACCAGTCACAATGGGAGGCAAACTGTTGGTTACCGTGGCAATCGTGCAAAAGAGGACGCCGTGCTCATCGCGTGATGTTTGGCGACGTGCACAAATGGCCCGCCCGCTCAAACGCGCACGCGTCGTACGCAATTGAGCCCCCCCCCCAAAAAAAAAACGAATAATAATTCCTGCCAACAGCAATCGCACTAATCGAAGCACTTTCTTGACTCCCGCGTGCGTCCGCGCGCGGTCAAAGCCCTGACGCAGCAAACCTTCCAGACTCATCCACTTTGCAAATGTGATTAAATCACAGCAAGCGAGCGAGCGCGCTGACCGCCGCGCACGCACTCCACGTGCCCCCGGAGGCGCCTCACTAAGTGACCGGCGTCACCGAAACGGACCCTTCTGCGCGTGTGGCGCTCCAACACGACCGCTGCCGTCTGCGCGCGTTCAAAGTGAGCAAAGGCGTTGGGACTCGGGGCGAGATGGCGGCGCGGCGACTCAAATAGAGCGGCTCATCAAGCATCAACGCCGTCCTTCTCCAATGCGCCCCGTCACCGACGCGTGTGACTTAGACCACGACTGAGCGGTTCCGTGATTCGCCGCGCGCAAAGCCACCACGAGGCACGCGCGCGACGGCAGTTTCCCTGCGCGTCCTTCCAAAGTCTTCCGAGGCATCGAACCGTCGAGCTAAACGACAGCGGGCCTCAATTGCCCTTCCGACGTCTTCGGTCAAGCTGTCGGAAATAATTGCGACCCCTGACGAGCACGTTCGCGTAAAATAGGCTCAATCGTGTCCTCCTTTGGGGGGGGGGGGGAGCGGAATTGCGGCAGTCGCACTTGTGGAACAATAAAACGGGGCCGCGTTTTCAGCGCGCCAACGTTGCTCTTTCGCCGAGCGTGAAAAAGTCCCGCCGGAGAGCGGCCGACGCGTGAATGCGAGAGAAGCTTCCGAGGGAGCCTTTGCCTTTGGTGCTCGCGACCACTGACATCCTTGCGAACGCAGCGCACAGCACAGCTCAAGTCGGCGACCGAACCCGAACCCTGACCCCGACGTACAGTGTGTGGTGTTTGTCCTCTCGGAGGTTTTGGGACTGGAAGCGGGAGAGCGCCCTCGTCGACACGGTGGCACATCACTCGGAGTTTGTCTGCGGCTTGGACTTCAACCTGCACGTCCCCAACCAGGTAAGACGCGCGGGGGTGGGCGGGCCTCATCGGCTTCGCGCCAGCGAACAAATGCCGCGTTGGAGGAAGGCGGGACGCCGGACGTTTCCCAACCCCCTTTGAATTGCGGGCCGTGCTCGTCCTTCACGTTCCCGCCGAGCGCTTTGAGCTCGCGATCTGGGCGGCGCAGGTCCCGAAACGCCTTCCCCCGACGCGGCGCCAGACCGACGGCAAATACGTCACCCGAATTGCAAAACCCCACGCAAGTTCCCACGTGCCGAACAAGCGAGCCGATGCGCCGCTCGGTCGGATGCGTGGCAGGATTGTGTCGGCGGGAGCCCGTTCCGCTTCTCGCCGTTGTTTGTGGCGACGCCTGCGTTTTCCGCACGGACTTAAAAAGCCCCCGGAGGCCGATGGAAATCGAACCGATTTGCTGAGCGAGCTAACGACGGCCCGCACCATCTGGCCACTCTCCTCCCGACTCGCACGCGCGCGCGTGTGACGGATCGGCCTCTTTGTGAGCGGGCTCTGCGCTCGCGCCAACATGACCTTTGACGCTTGCGTTCAGGTGCTGGACTGTTCGTGGGACGAGACGGTGAAGATCTACACGCCGCCGTGTTTGTCCGGCGCCGGGCCCCGGCCGTGACGAGGTCAACCCGCGCCCCCGCCCCGTCAGCCGCCCCGTGATGTCGTCGAGTCGAGGAAGCGGCGCGGCGAGGGACGGACCGTGACCTCCAGACGAAGGAGGCGTCGAGGCCTTCTCTGTTTGCGGGGACGGTGAGAAAAGGCCAAGGGAAGCGTTTGGCCATGCCCGCAATCAGTTTTTGCGCCAGCTCGCCGCGTCCTCCGATTTGCGGTGCGTCCGGCGAGCGTGACGCAAGCGGTCGACGGGACGCCTCGGCTTGTCGTCGCTGCTCGCCGACGTGCGCGGGCTCCGGGCCCGATGAAGGCGGCGCTGCCCGGAGCCGAGTCTCCCCAGATAACTTTGAGCTTCCTCTTCAACCTTCGACCGTCGGCCGCGCCGAAACGGAAGCGTTTGAGCTTTCCGTTCAAATGAGTCTGCTAATCTTTTTGCAACAATAGACCCCCGCCCACGTGGGCCTGCTGCTAATCCTCTGCCGGAGTTAATTGGAAGGATGCCCCCACCCCCCCACCCGTGACCTCAAAGTCATTTCCTGATGCAAAATTAAAACGAGAGAATGTGAAAGCTGAGAGGCTGAATTCCAATTTGTGCGGGGATGTCGAACCATGCGCAGAACACGACCAAGATCGAATGCTTTGAACCGCCTCAAAAAGGAAGCGAGGAATCCGCCATGCAACGAAATCAAAGGAAACTGGAAAGGAAAAAGGAGGCGGGGAAATCACGACGGAAGCTCGAGGGGGGATGAGCAAGGAAGCAAGCATGTGGCGTCCCTAATCATGAGGCCAACAGGGTCGCACAGCGGTTGGAAGTCGGAACGCTTTGAATGGGGCCCAAAATGACGTCGAAAAGAAAACGTCTTCATTTGGGGGGACGCCAGTTCCATCTTTGCTGAGCGGCAGTTTGGGGCAGCGACGGTTGGAACCGTCCGAATCACTCAAAAATGTAGAAATTGCAGCAGGGGAAACAAAAAATATAGATTTGGGAGGAGGCGGGGCGATATTTGAATGGTCAAATTGTTGAATTTGGGCTAACGGGGTCATTTTGGGCATCTTGAAAAAGCTTGCCAGGGTGCATCGAATGAGCTGAACGTTTTGCGGATCAAATCGGAGATCGCAAATGAATTTGGGGGTGAAAAATGTTGAGAGCCGTCATGGGGGTTGGGGGGCGGGGGGAGTGGCCGAGTCTTGAAATATGCTGCAAAAATGCGCAAGGGGAAGCGAGGGAAGAACGGAAGAAGAAAGTTGTCGGTGCTTTGGGTGGTCGGCGAGAGCAGGGCGCCCCCTCTCGCTCCTTTTGTGACCCCCACCTCAGCGTGCGGGGAATCCCTCTTCCTCTGCACAAGCGACGAGTGCGGAGGAAGTGAGAGTGGGCGCGCGCGTGCCTGCGCGTGAGAGAGCGAGTGTGTGTGCGCGCGCGCGTTCGCGCGCGCGCGCGTTCGTGTCAACGTGGCTTCGTGCCGGTTTCACGCGAGTCTGGACCATCGGGAGACGTTTTTTTCTTCTTTTTCAAGCAGCCTCTCCGACGCTCAAAGGACGGGGGAGAAGATTGCGCGTGCGCGCGCCGGAGTAGGAAAGGTCCTCCCCCCCAACCCCCTTCCCCTCCTCGTCCACGCTGCGGCGACGCCGCCGCGGAAGTTTGCGCGGCTGCAGCGGCGGACGATGGAGGCGGTGCGCGGGCGCGCGCCGGGCATCGCGGTGGCGGTGGCCCACGGCGTGTTTTCGGGCAGCCTCAACATCCTGCTCAAGTTCCTCATCAGCGGCCGCCACTTCGGCTTCCTCACGCTGCTCCAGCTGTGCACGTGCAGCGCCGCCGCGCTGGGCCTGGAAACGCTGCGCCGGCTCGGCAGGGTCTCCGTGCCCCCCTTCGGCCTCGGCCTCTCCAAGGTAAGGCCCGCCGAGTCGCCCGGGGGGCTTTTGGCGACTCGGACCGGCTCGGACTCGGTTCGAGTTCCTCGGCGCAT